TTTGGGGTTTTTTGAGGGTTTTTTTTGCGGGATTTTTGGGGGGTTTGGGGGGGATTTTGGGGGGAGTTTGGGGGGGATTTTTTAGGGAGATTTTTTGGGTCTTTTGGGGAGATTTTTTGAGGTTTTTTTGGGTTTTTGGGGGGGGATTTTTGGGGGGTTTTTGGGGTTTTCTTTGGGGTTTTTTGGGGTTTTTTGGGGAGATTTTTTGAGGTTTTTTTAGGGTTTTTTGGGTGGAATTTTTGGGGTTTTTTGGGGGGGTTTTGGGTTTTGTTTGGGGAGGGTTTTTAGGGTTTTTTTGGGAATTTTGGGGGGAATTTTTGGGTGGTTTTGGGGGAATTTTTGGGATTTTTTTCCCCTCCTCTCTCCCCTATTTGAGCCGCCTTCCCCTCCAAAACCTCCAACTAAAAATCGTGTGAAACACTCGGATTTATTTCCATTTTTCCACTTTTTTTTTGGAGGGGGGGGCTCGGGTTGTTTTTTTTTTCTCCAGACCACAAAACTCTTTAAAAAAACCAACAAAAAATATTCAAAAAATTTTAAAAAATAACACAAAACTCCCCCCAAAAAAAGCCACATCAGAGAGAGAAAAACGAGCTCCAGCACCGACAGAAACACGAGCACCAAACACGGGGGGGGGTCACAAAACACAAAAAACACCCAAAATTCCAATTTTTCCCTCCCCCTCCCTCCCATTTCCCAAAAAAAAAACCAGAGCCGGACCTGGCAGAGATAAAACCCCAAAAATTCCCGGCTGGAATTCCCATCCCAAGAGACCCAAACCCGGCGAGATTCAAGTATTTAAAAATAAAAAATTAAAAAAAAAATTATATATATATATATATATATATATAAAGGGAAGGAATAATTAATAATAATAATATTAATAATTAAAAAAAAATAATTAAAAAAAAATAATTCAAAATAGCCGGGTTGAGGTTGGCGTTTTTATCTCTGCAGCAGCTCCAGGAAAAATCGGAAATTCACAATAAATTAGAAATATCTAGAGCTAAAAACCCTCCCTGATAGCTCCACTAAGGTAGTTTGGGGGTTTTTTTATATTTTTCTATTTTTTTTGTGGCTTTTCTTTAATTTTTTTATTCTTTTTTTTTATTCTTATTATTATTTTCCAAACTAGAAAAATCCCATTTTTCCTCTAAAAAGTTAGGAATAAGTTTGGAGGGGGGGAGTTCTTCCGCCTCTTTTTTTTTGTTGTTGTTTTATTTTTCCCCCCTCTCTCCTAAATAATTTACACTCCCCCCTCTTTTTTATCTTTTTTTCTTTTTTTTCTCTTTTTTCTTCTCTTTTTTCTCTTTTTTTTCTCATTTTTCTCTTTTTTTCCTCTATTTTTTCTCTCTTTTTTCTCTTTTTTTCTCTATTTTTTCTCTTTTTTTCTCTTTTTTTCCTCTATTTTTTCTCTCTTTTTTCTCTTTTTTTCTCTATTTTTTCTCTTTTTTCTCTTTTTTTCTCTATTTTTTCTCTTTTTTTCCTCTTTTTTTCTCTTTTTTTCTCTTTTTTTCTCTTTTTTTTCTCTTTTTTCTCTTTTTTTTCCTCTTTTTTCTTCTCTTTTTTCTCTTTTATTTTCTTTTTTCCCTTTTTTTCTCTCCTCCCCCACTACAAAATTCCCAAAACCGGGCGCTTTTGCCCCAAAAAAACTTCGCTCAAATTTCCGCCAAATAAAATCCAAATTCTGGATTAAAAACCGAGTTTAAAAAGTGAAATAAAAAGGGAAAAAAACCCCAAAAAAAGGGGAATTTGGGGCTGTTAAGGAGCGCTGAATTGTTAATTATTTGTTGGGTGCAATTAAAACCGAGACTTAATTAATGTGTCTGTCTTGCAGGAGTTTAATTAAAATCGTCTGGGTCTCGGTGAGCGTCTGGAGGGGATTTTTGGGGGGAAAAAATTAAAAATAATGATTTTTTTGAGGAAAAAAAAAGGTTTGTGGTGGGTGTTTGTTTTTTTTTTTATGCTGGGGAAAAAATGGGAATGAAATGGAAATAAAAATGAGATTAAAAATGAAAATGATGATGAGAATAAAAATGAAAATAAAGAAAATGGAAATGAAAATGGAAATAAAAATGGAAATAAAAATGGAAATAAAAATGAAAATAAAAATAAAAATGGAATAAAAATTAGAATAAAAAATAAAATAAAATGGAAATAAAAATAAAATGAAAAATTCAAATAAAATTTGAAAAATTAAAATAAAAATTGAAGGAAAAATTGAAATAAAAATTGAAATAAAAATTGAAATAAAAATTGAAATAAAAATCGAAATAAAAATTGAAATAAAAATTGAAATAAAAACTAAAATAAAAATGAAATTAAAATGAAAATACAAATTAAAAAGAGGGGAAAAGTTAATTTGGCGAGATCTTGGGCTCACACTGAAAAAAAAAATATCAAATTTGCGGGGAGGGGAGAAAAAAGTCAAAAAAGAAACAAGAAAAGTTTTTATTCCCCGCACAGAGGGGGGATCTGGAGGAACTTTTCCTAAATAAATCCAACCTATTTTTTTTTTCCTTTTTCCCTTTTTTTCGCTCGTAACGCCACCAAAAAAAACCCTGAAAAATCCAGATTTCAGAAGGAAAAAATCTGTTCACATCAACAGAGCCGGGCGCTGGTTTGGGGGGTAAAATATGAGATTTTTGAGCTCAGAGAGGGGGCAAAAATGAGATTTTTGAGCTCAGAGATGGGGTAAAAAATGCGATTTTTGAGGTCAGGGATGGGGATAAAAATGAGATTTTTGAGCTCAGAGAAGGGATAAAAATGAGATTTTTGTACTCAGAGATGGGGTAAAAATTCGATTTTAGAGGCCAGAGTGGGGCTAAAAATGAGATTTTTGAGCTCAGAGAGGGGGTAAAAAATGCGATTTTTGAGGTCAGAGAGGGGATAAAAAATGCGATTTTTGAGGTCAGGGAGGGGGATAAAAAATGCGATTTTTGAGGTCAGAGTGGGGCTAAAAATGCGATTTTTGAGCTCAGAGTGGGGATAAAAATGAGATTTTTGAGCTCAGAGAGGGGCTAAAAAATGCGATTTTTGAGGTCAGAGAGGGGGTAAAAAATGCGATTTTTGAGCTCAGAGAGGGGATAAAAAATGCGATTTTTGAGGTCAGAGAGGGGATAAAAAATGCGATTTTTGAGCTCAGAGAGGGAGGACGAAAAATGCGATTTTTGAGGTCAGGGAGGGGGATAAAAAATGCGATTTTTGAGCTCAGAGTGGGGCTAAAAATGAGATTTTTGAGCTCAGAGAGGGGATAAAAAATGCGATTTTTGAGCTCAGAGAAGGGATAAAAATGAGATTTTTGTACTCAGAGATGGGGTAAAAATTCGATTTTTGAGCTCAGAGTGGGGATAAAAATGAGATTTTTGAGCTCAGAGAGGGGGATAAAAAATGCGATTTTTTTGCTCAGAGAGGGGGTAAAAAATGCGATTTTTTTGCTGAGAGAGGGGCTAAACCCGCGATTTTTCACCCAGAGAGAGGCTAAAAAACCCGCTAAATCCCATATATATATATATATTTTTTTTCACTCCTTGCCCTGCTCCTTGTTCATCTTCTTCATCTTCATCCTGCGGTTCTGGAACCAGATCTTGACCTGTCTCTCGCTGAGGTTGAGCAGCCGCGCCACCTCGCAGCGCCGCTCCCGGCTCAGGTACATGTTGAACAGGAATTCCTTCTCCAGCTCCAGCGTCTGGAATTTGCTGTACGGGCAGCGCTTCTTCCGCGAGGAGCGAGCCTGGAGCCAACTGCCCGCCGGAGGGGCTGAGAAATGGGGAGAAATCGGGGAATGAGGTTTTGGGGGGGTTTGGGGATGGAGAAATTATGTGTATGTATAATTATAGATTTATATATATATATAATATTATATAATTTATATTATATAATATATTATATAATTTATATTATATAATATATTATATAATTTATATTATATAATATATTATATAATTTATATTATATAATATATATTATATAATTTTTATATATATATATAATTTATATATATAAATATATAATGTATAATATATAAAAATATATAAATATATAAAAAAATAAATATATGTAAAATATGTATATTTTTATATATAAATATAGATTTATATATAAAAATATATAAATTTATATATATAAATATATATTTATATATATATAAATATATATATAGATATATATAAAAATACATATAAATAAATATATAAATATATATATAAATATATATAAATATATAAAATATATATAAATATATAAAATATATATATAAATATACATAAAAATATATATAAAAACAAATATATATATAAAAATACATATAAATAAATATATATATAAAAATATATATATAAGTAAATACATATTTATTTATATGTATGTATGTGTTTTTACTTACACGTGTGTGTATATATATATCTACTTATATATATATATTTACTTATATATTTACTTACCTATATATATATTTACTTATATATTCACATATATATTTACTTATATATATATATATTTACTTACACGTGTGTGTGTGTGTACATATATTTACTTATATATATATTTACTTACATATATATATTTACTTATATATTTACTTACACATGAATATATTTACTTAATTTACTTACATGTATGTATTTTTACTTACACGTGTGTATATATATATTTACTAATATATATATATTTACTTATATATTTACTTACAGGTATATATTTCTACTTACACGTGTGTGTATATATATATTTACTTTATATATATTTACTTATATATTTATATTTACTTATAAATTTACTTATATATGTATTTACTTACACGTGTATATATATATATTTTTATATATATTTACTTATATATTTACTGACATATATATATTTATTTTTTTATATTTATATATATATTTACTTACATAGATGTGTGTTTACTTTTATATATATTTACTTATATATCTATTTATATATATATTTACTTACATATACAGATATTTACTTATATATTTACGCATATATCTAGTTAAAAATAAATATAATATATATAAACATATATAAATAGATATGTGTCTGTATAAAATAGAAGTATAGAAATATAGAAATGTAGGTATATAAATAAGAATATAAATATAAATACATAAAAATATATTCATAAATATAAGGATATAAGCACAAGTATATATTTGTATATACAAGTATTATATAAATAGAAATACAATGTATAAATATGAGTATATAAATGTAAATATAAGAATATAAATATAAATATACGTATATAAATATAAACATATAACGTTGTTTATAGAATGTTAGATATAGAACTTTATATATATAATGTTTTATATATATATAATGTTATATAAATTCAATGTCACATGCGGTTCCTGTGTTAATTACTGTATAATTATATCGATATCCATATAATTATCTATATTGTGTAATTACATTGTGCTGTAATAATCCGGGTTTGGGGGGAAAACCAACAAACAAAACCCCAAAAATACCCAAAAAACCACAAACAACCCCCAAAAACCAACAAAAATCACAATTAAAGCTCAAAAAATACCAAAAAACCATAAACAACCCCAAAAAAACCCAAAAAATCACAAATAAAGCACCAAAAATACCCAAAAAACCACAAACAACCCAAAAAAACCCCCAAAAAATCACAAATAAAGCACCAAAAATACTAAAAAAAACCATAAACAACCCCCAAAAAACAACAAAAATCACAATTAAAGCTCCAAAAATACCCAAAAAACCATAAACAACCCAAAAAAACAACTAAAAATCACAAATAAAGCACCAAAAATACACAAAAAACCACAAACAACCTCAAAAAAAACAACAAAAATCACAATTAAAGCTCCAAAAATACCCAAAAAACCACAAATAGCCCCAAAAAAACAACCAAAAATCTCAAATAAAGCACCAAAAATACACAAAAAACCACAAATAGCCCCAAAAAAACCCCAAAAATCTCAAATAAAGCCCCAAAAACCCCCCAAAAACCCCAAACCCAGCTCAGGATCCCAAATTCCAGCTGTTCCCAAAACCTCTGGAATGGGACGGGCCGGGAATGGGGGCGGGGGGGGATGGGCGCCCCCTGGACCCCAAAGTTTTGGGTGAAATTCGGGAAGTTTTGGGTGAAATTCAGGAAGTTTTGGGTGAAATTCTGAGTTTTGGGTGAATTTCTGAAAGTTTTGGGTGAAATTCTGAGTTTTGGGTGAATTTCTGGAAGTTTTGGGTGAATTTCTGGAAGTTTTGGGTGAATTTCTGGAAGTTTTGGGTGAAATTCTGAGAGTTTTGGGTGAAATTCGGGAAGTTTTAGGTGAATTTCTGAAAGTTTTGGGTGAAATTCTGAGTTTTGGGTGAAATTCTGAGAGGTTTGGGTGAAATTCTGAAGGTTTTGGGTTCATTTTTGGTCATTTTGGGTCCATTTCTGGTTATTTTGTGTTCATGTCTTGTTGGTTTGGGCTCATTTTTGGTAATTTTGGGTTCATTTTTCGTCATTTTGGATTAATTTCTGGTTATTTGGGGTTAATTTCTGTTCGTTTTGGGTTAATTTCTGGTCATTTTGGGTTCATTTCTGGTTATTTTGGGTTAATTTCTGGTTATTTTGGATTCATTTCTGGTTGTTTTGGGTTCATTTCTGTTCATTTTGGGTCCATTTCTGGTTATTTTGGGTTCATTTCTGGTTATTTTGGGCTCATTTCTGGTTATTTTGGGCTCATTTCTGTTTATTTTGGGCTCATTTCTGGTTATTTTGGGCTCATTTCTGGTTGTTTTGGGTTCATTTCTGGTCATTTTGGGTCCATTTCTGGTTATTTTGGATCCATTTCTGGTTATTTTGGGCTCATTTCTGGTTGTTTTGGGTTCATTTCTGGTTATTTTGGGTCCATTTCTGGTTATTTTGGGCTCATTTCTGGTTATTTTGGGCTCATTTCTGGTTATTTTGGGTTCATTTCTGGTTATTTTGGGCTCATTTCTGGTTATTTTGGGTCCATTTCTGGTTATTTTGGGTCCATTTCTGGTTATTTTGGGCTCATTTCTGGTTATTTTGGGCTCATTTCTGGTTATTTTGGATTCATTTCTGGTTGTTTTGGGTTCATTTCTGGTCATTTTGGGTCCATTTCTGGTTATTTTGGATCCATTTCTGGTTATTTTGGGCTCATTTCTGGTTATTTTGGGTCCATTTCTGGTTATTTTGGGCTCATTCCAGAGGTTTTTGGGGTCCCACCCCCTCCCCGTCCCTGCCAGCTGAACACCAACACCCCACACCCATAAACCAACCCCCAAAAATCCCATTTTTCCCCATTTTTGCCCATTTTCCCCCATTTTTTCCCCAGAGTTTGCTCCTCCAGACCCGTCCCGCACCGAGGGGAGCTCCGGAGAAACTTTTCCTGAATAAATCCTGACTATTTCTTGATTTTTTCCCATTTTTTGTGTGAAATGTGGCCAAAAAAACCCAAAAATCCTCTGGGAGCTGCCGGGGTCTGAGCCAGAGGTGCTGGCAGGGCTGGAAATGTAAAATAAATGAAATGAAATAAAATGAAATGAAATGAAATAAAATAAAATAAAATAAAATAAAATAAAATAAAATAAAATAAAATAAAATAAATCAAAATGAAAATGCAATACAATAAAATACAATAAAATACAATGAACTAAACTAAACTAAAATAAAATAAAATAAAATAAAATAAAGTAAAATAAAGTAAAATAAAATAAAATAAAATAAAATAAATCAAAATGAAAACGCAATACAATAAAATACAATAAAATACAATGAACTAAACTAAACTAAAATAAAATAAAATAAAAATACAATAAACCAAACCAAACTAAACTAAAAGTAAAAATAAATAAAAATAAAATAAAAATAAAAATAAATTACATAAAATAACATGATAAAATAAAATAAAGTACAATACAATAAAAATTAAATAAAATACAACAAAATACAATACAATAAAAT